TATAAATAATCGTCATGGAAACAGGTTGTAAATCAATCCATTCCAAAAAATAGAATTCAATCCATTTCAAAAATAGAATTCAATCATGTGATCAATTTGAAAAAGTTGAGATGTTCATGATAACAATTTTGTTACCTAAGTTTGTTATTATGCAAATTTATTCATAAATATAATTATGATAATTTGACTGACCAACGTCAATACAATAATACGACAATACAAACATATGTCTCATTCAGATATATATGGATAAAACTTTCAGTATTTATAACTTAATTAAATTCATTTACAACTTATTAAAAGTATGAAATTATTAAGTGTGTTGATTAAGAAAGGTTGAAATAACACTTACCGTCCCCCTCTGTATCTACTATGAATGAGCTGTATAAGGTTTGCGAGAATCAAAAAACCTTTTACAACTTTAAATCTGAGACACGTGAGAAAATGAATTATAATACAAATATACTTAACACAACAAATTTGCATTCATGTATTCATATCAAAGTTTAAGACGCTATAAAAAAGACACAAAACAGTAATCAGATACAAAATACGCCTTGCCAAACCTTTGTGCTCTTCCAAACCCTAACCCCTTTAAACATGTAGATAGATTGGTCCGTAAGGCTCAGAGGAACAGTCCATATGAATAAAAAGGGTATGGATGCTCTGTGTTACTTTAATTGGCATATAAACCTAAATAGGTTTAGGGTCTCATCTAAGATTGCTACCTGAGATTTTTCAATGATTTATTAGGTGTCTGTTTCATCAGCTGTTCAATATACCTGTCGTTTATTACAATTACGAGCTTTAGTCTGTAAAATACCTTTTTATATTAACCAGAATAAAAGAATAGTTTTAAAATTTATATGGTGAATGATTTAAATTGAATTGATTTGCACACTCCTGGTTTAACAAATTGACAAAACATCTTGGCACCATTTACATAAATTTCCTTCCATGTCAATCATGTTTTTACCTGTTCAGGTGTAAAAACAGATGGTGAATGCATTCATCACTATACAGATACAAAACAGTATGGTGTATATAGGTATAGTCTACATTTCCTTTGTGTTGATAAAAGCAATTAGGACTTTGTTCAAACATGCCTGCAATTTACATTTTCTAATTCATTATTTCTTTATTTACGTTTAAAAGTGTCTTCAGACAGTTTACAAATTTGGCTCCAAAGCTTTTCAACAATGTAATCAATACAATTTTACCATTGTGTATGTTTCCGAACTGTGGGCCTGTATTCAAATTTTACTTTATTTACGGAAATTTAAAATTTAAAATGATCGTTTATCCCAATAACAGGAAGTCATATTACACCTGTCAGCCTAATATATTGAATAACTGCATAAAAAAATCTGTCACCAATTATATCCATACAGGTGAAATATTAGTTTACCTGTACAGGTTACAGATACCCGGACATCAACAACTATAGTTCGTAATACCCATCTGTTACCATTACATTTATGCGTCATTGTTCCCCTCATCTTTCAGGAAATTGTGATACTATGATTACATACTAAAGAATTTTATTTTTATCTAAAACATCAAACTTCCAGCATTAGGGTTCTCAAAGAGTTTTGTTTTTTGTCAAAACAGATTAACCACAGGGAGAGTCAGACCTCAGAAGTAGATGTAACACAGCAGTTTTAACAACCAAACTGTTATTACCAGAGTTTTGTCTCCTAGTTTCGGTTTTCCCACTACAGAACTGTATTACAAGATTTTTGTATAAACTTATTATAATTATGACGCAGCTGTTCCAACCAGAGCTCCAATCTTTACAAGATTTAGCCTTACATAATGTTTAATTGGCTATTTCAGCTAGAGAACTACAAATTGTTGTATAACATAACCAATAAATACTGTTTTTAAATGTCCTGTAATATGTCCTCCCCCTGATTTTGTGTCAGAAATAATGTATTGACCCCGGGGGTCCTGTAATAAGCCCATACCCGGTCTTTCAGCAAGAAGCAATGTATTGATCCCTTGGGTCTTGAAATAAGCCCACCCCCGGACTTTCATTAAGAAGTCATGTATTGATCCCTAGGGTTCTGTAATAAGCCCACCCTTTGACTTTCAGTAAGAAGTCATGTATTGACCCCGGGGGTCCTGTAATAAGCCCATACCTGGTCTTTCAGCAAGAAGCAATGTATTGATCCCTGGGGTCTGGAAATAAGCCCGTCCCCGGACTTTCATTAAGAAGTCATGTATTGATCCCTAGGGTTCTGTAATAAGCCCACCCTTTGACTTTCAGTAAGAAGTCATGTATTAAACCCTGGGGTCTTGTGATAAGCCCATACCTGGTCTTTCAGCAAGAAGCAATGTATTGATCCCCAGTGTTGTGTAATAAGCCCATCCCCTGACTTTCAGTAAGATGTGATATGTTGACTCCCCCCCTCCACCCCTCCCCCAGTGTTGTGTAATAAGCCCATCCCCTGACTTTCAGTAAAGTGATATGTTGACCCCTCACCCCTCCCCCAGTGTTGTGTAATAAGCCCATCCGCTGACTTTCAGTAAGAAGTGATATGTTGACCCCCCACCCCTCCCCCAGTGTTGTGTAATAAGCCCATCCCCTGACTTTCAGTAAAGTGATATGTTGACCCCTCACCCCTCCCCCAGTGTTGTGTAATAAGCCCATCCCCTGACTTTCAGTAAGATTTATAGTATTGAACCCTCCGTCCCGTAATTATCACTACCCCTGATTTTGAGTCAGAAATAATGAAAGGGTAAGGTGAACATTCAAGTTCAGCACATTAAGCTCCCTATGATCAAAACTTCAACAGAATTTTGAAACTGTCTAAAATGGCAAACCTTCATGCTGGCCTGGTGGTAATAGTAACATCTTATGAAATAGTTCACCTGTTTCAACAATTTTAACTAGTTTTTTTATGATTAACTTCTTTACTTGTGGGTCTTCCATTTTGTTGTTTAGTCCTTACTTGGGTTTATGTAAAATGTGTTAATGGCCCTCATAGTTTGTATTATGGAGAATTAGTGCTGAAATTTATGTCGACAAAAAAAGAGAAATTAAGAGAAAACCTACCAGCATGGTCCTTAGGGAGCCTCGCAGACAAAAAATATATCTAAACATGAAACAAGATACCTGGTAACACAGATGGGAATCCCATAACTCAGGCAGCTGTCAAACAAGCAAGGAATCCCAGTCCCCCATATCTATTCCAATCCTGTAAAAAAGCCCTTGTTAAACCCCGGGCCCTGGTCAACCCTCTCTCTCCAAGTCCCCTTAAAACAAAGCTGCCCTATATCTTCCTTACTCTCTACCAAACCTGATCCAATCCCTGTCAAATTTAACTATTCCCAATATCTCCCAATCTCAAAAACCAATGGATTCAATTCCAAGTCCACACCACCCTATATCTCTCTCATATCTCTACACCAAACCTGATCCAAACCCAGTCAAATCTAAATATTCCCATTATCTCCAAATCCATGCCATCCTTAATTCTCCCTTAAATCATTTAAAAACCTGGTCTTTCTCTGTCCTTAAAGGTCACCCCAATCACTTAAATCATACACCATTTTTCAGCTTTACCAATAAACCCTTAAAACCAAGTCCAAACCTGGTCTTTTTCTGTCATTAAAGGTTACCCCGATCACTTAAAGCATATACCATTTTTCAGCTTTACCAATAAACCCTACAGACCTAGTCCAAACATTTATGTAGCCATACTGTTACAAGCAATACAAAATAGTACATCACTACTTCCCAAAAAATTCACCATAACAGCAGATGTGCCAGCACCTTGAGGGTCAATTTAGTCCCCTATCTGTCTGAAACCCCAAACATTTCACATAGCCATGTGCGAGCTGACTATCAAACCTGATCCATGATTTTGAGATATGACGTACATACCTGCATATGTGTAGCTGTTGAAGGTTACAATGAGCCATTCAAGGTCAAGGTAAACTGTTCATCTGTTCAACACACATGGATTTCAACTGTCCAACATAATCAGTTGTGATATGTCATAGTCTCTTTTCCAACAGAGTCTCCTTGTCTGTACCCTACCCCAACACCACAAGATTATTTCCTCACCAAACATAACATATTAATGTCTTTGCTGGGTTTCTAAATGGCCAAAATCAGTAGAATAAAACATTTGAAGAATGAGTCAGCTCAAACCTTCCCCAGTATTAAATCACATGAAATTTTTTTGCTGAATCCCAACAAATGATCATCTTATCTCTTTGATTCCCAAGGGTGTCCTTCCCAAGTCTTTCACCATCTGGGCTCTAACCCCTATCAGCTGACCTAGCAAAACACATGGCTGGTGATGCATCTTTACAACCCAAAGGGGTCATCAGAAAATGTGTAGATTTCAAATTTTTTTTTTTTTTGATAAAGTTTGTAATTTTGATAAGATTCTGCAGCTGGCTTTTTTCCGACAGTGTAGAAGCACTGACTTTATCTTGTTGAATACACTGGACAGTCGACTCAGTGCAATCACATGCTGGCAATTTTTAATGTAATAAGATCATGATCAATTATATGTTTGAAGTACATGTCTGCCATCATTATAGTCATGGTCATACATAAAGTCATGGTCGGCCATACGCTTGAAATTCAAATATCATTCACTTATTATTATTATTACTAAACTGAAAGTTGGTAGATTCCTTATCATTTTGTACACTACGTATGTCAGTGATAGTACACTCCACACTGGTCACTTGTCTGATGAAGGTGACCATGTAGTCATCAGAACTTCACACTCAAATCTTCTACTGGTTGTGTTACTAGAACTTCTATTCTATTGACATAACTAACCTGAAGAAAGTGTTTCATAAAAGTCTACAACACAGTCTGAAAACCTACGATAAAGCAAAAACATTGCTCAGTAATAAGCCCACTCTTGACATGAACTTGTTGTAGAATGAATGTGTTAGTCTTTTGACTGAGAGTTTTAACTCAAGATGAGTTTATCTCTAACAGAACAGCTGGTTAAAATGTCAGACAAACTTACCTATTACCACATAATGACAAAATGCTGGTCTTCTGTATTGATTCACTCAGAATTCTGAAAAATAAAAAAAAAAAACAATTACAGTTATATCAGATAATTTCTAAAATTCTGTTTTTCATTCTTTAAAATCTTAAACTTGAAACTTAAAAACATCAATCCACAAAAAATTATTCTATATTTCTTATTTGTTAAAAAGTGTTTAACAAGTTTCCAAAATGTCAAAAGATTTTTTTCATGGGAAAGGTCAAGAGCTTATCTCTCTACCCCAAACATAACAAACAGCAATGCCTTGCTGTATGCCAGACCCTTCCCTCCCCTCCCTAATGGCCCCTCCTCCCATTCCTCATACCTAGATATGGGCCACTGCAAAACAATTTCAAATTATTTTCTCAGAGATTTTAAGAATGTAACAAACATAATTGTTCATGGGTGAGGTTTCTAAAGAATTTTTGAGAGAAATAAACAGCATATTCTTTGATAAATCATTGACTAGGTTTTAGGGAGCTGTGAGGTCTGTGCTGAAAAAACACACAATACAAACCAGGAAGAATTGCCCTGGTAGAGAAATTTTTCATCAGAAAGCCGTGTAAATCAGCTGGTTGCTGTCGTCAACTTTTCCAGAAATGTCATTGTTTTAAAGAAAGATTCCCAATAAGAAGACATTGTTTTAAAAGATATATGACCAAATGTTTCTCTCTTTCCCTATACTACATCTTCTATAAAAGTGTCAGGTTTTGCCATCAAATGTTGAGATATATATCATGACTGAGGGTATGGTGTAACTTGCTGGTGAGAAACTCACACAATGAAGCTGAAGATTGTCTCAGAAAATGATGGACTAGACGGAATATTATCTGATGTCACGTCATCAGTAATAAAAAATGTAGACAGGAAGTGAAGAATTCTATTGCCATGGTAACCATGGTAAAAAAGTTTTTCATATCAGAAATACAAAATTTGTTAAAACACGCCCTCTAAATTATCATTTTTCAATAGAACATTTTAAAAACATTGTTTTGTAATTTTAACATTTGTTACATTTCTGATATGGGTTGTTAAAAGCCCACTCCTTATTTCGTGTATGAATTAATGTTCTGAAACACTGGCCTTATAACAGTATAGAAAAAGGTTTAAAAGCTCTGTTTTCTTTACTTCCCTATAAGTCCACCAACATTCTCTACTGATGAGGTTTAAACTGGGTACATATCGTTTACTATATCAAGTTCCGTTTTTGTCTACAAATACATCTTAAGAATCAAACTTCAGAAAAATAGTTTTTGTTTTTATAAACTTAATCAGAAAATTAACAGTACACTATTAGAGGAGAAAACCAAGTTTCATGTTGAAATAATGTTTCAAATTTGAAAATATAAATGCAGTATTCTGATTGGCTAACGGCCCAACAGTCACAGTATTTCGTTGGATACAGCCTTAATACTGACATCATTAATTATATTCCATAAAATTATTGATAACATATTCTTGGGAAAATCTAAAAAAAAAAAAAAGAAGAAGTTTTTCTAACTGTTTCAGTTTTATGCTTGTTGTACATTGGCAACGTCTTGAACAGAAGGATGAAAGTTTGTCAGTTATTCAGGGAATGGTGAAATTTCCTCAGATAACTTGTGGTTATAACTGCGCCAAACAGAGAAACAATGGCTAGCCTTACAAACCCTAGTTATCAGGGGAGCACAGTTCACTGTCACTTACAGTTAACCCTCGCGTAACTCTGGCATGACAGAATGCAGATTGTACAACAAAAACGTGAACATTCTGGCATGTAATATTGCACATGCATTGCATGGATACAGACTTAAGCTGTTTCCTATAGATAACCACAAGTGATATGGTAACTACACCAAGGATAGCATGATAAACACAAACATCACTAACACATCTGTCTTCTGACCAGTTACTTTACTACAACGCAACATGGAGTACAATCAGATTTCAAAATTTTCCCGATAAAACAACTTGTGGAATTGAAATCTTTAACTTTTCTTTAATGAAGCATTTATGAAGTATTTTTACTTGAATTAATTTTATTTAAAAAATTCAAATTCATCTCTTTTATTTTAATTTCAATTGTGAAACAAACAATGTAACACTGTTTTAATCATAATAGGGTTTTATTGTGGGAGAAAGCGAGAGAACAAAAAACCTACATTGTGTATTATCCTATATCACCATGATAACCCTTACTTGAAGGAAAGTGTCCTAAACAGGTCTACCCAGTCACTATTAACAGTAAACAGGAATTTCAGTCTATCTTAAAAACTTCTTGTCACAGCCTAAAGGTGATCATTATCATGTGATTTGGGAGGGGTGAGAGGGGAATGGATGATATCTAATACTGTCATACTACCATGTCAAGATTATAACATTTCAGTGGGATGACACTATAAAAATGACTGTCAGTGATCCTATCATCAGTGGACGTTGTTTTCATGAGGCCTTAGCAATGGTAGGATGAATTTTAATGAAATTTAATGCATATTTCACTTAAGGATTTGTTTTTCTTGACTCAAGTCACAATTATGTTTATGCCAAAATCATTCAAAGTTGATGACGGACAGATCTGTGAGAAGAAAAGAAAAACTAAAAAAAAAAGTTTTCAGGAGCGATTCTAGTGCTTTTTATTGTAACTGAACGATAAAGTGTCCTTATCTGCAAATTCACACACACTGATTTAAAGTGAGGTGTAAAAGTGATTTCTACAATGCAATAATATAGGTATAAAACTATTGTGTGCTAAGGGAGATAAGTATTAATAATGAAAATGTCAAGGATATAGGCATTTTGAAAAAATGTTGGTAAAACAATTAACTATATGTTATGTACCCCATGTGCAAAATTACACAGCAAGTGGAACAATTACATCACAGTTTCTACCATATGTTAAATCTTATTAACCTGATAGAAACTGGTTATCTTCAGGTGTTCATAAAAATATGGCACCCATGGTAGTGAATTGAGGTGTGGAAGGTGAAGGTCAGAAGTCAAAAGGGAGGTAACTCAAGAAAATGGGGCAGAGGACAGAGAATAATCAAATATGTATGTTATTAACATATCACACAGTGACCATATAATGTGTAGATTATTGCTACTTTTTTTACAGTAGCTTTTCCCTTGGTTTCAGGCTGTTAAATGTTGCAATTCAGAAGAGCTGAAAAGTAGGACCAGTGCCACACTTAAGAAACTTAATATAAAGACAGTGGGTGTGTTGAAAAACTATCTAAATAACCAGCTGGACAGAGAGACAGTGGTAGGGAAAACACCAGTGTTTAGGTTACCAAGGTGATGCTATAGAAATAATGAGTGTAATAGTTTTCTTACCAGAGTGGCAATATTCGTGATAAGATATCAATGTGTAGTGGTAGGATATCAGGTCTATTAATCCACTAGGGATAAATCATGGTGGAAAGGGTTTAGATAATACAGTAGCGGGTGGAGAGAGAGTCTACACATGGTTTTATTTATTTCTCTGTTAGCATTAGGAAATGTATGGTATGTAAGCTGACCAATAACTGTCAGGCTGGACACAAAGGGCAGATTGGCCTGTTACAGACAGTGAAGGGTAAAAAACGGCAAATCAAAGGTTGGCAGAGACATGGGACAGGAATAAAAAGCAGACAGAGGGAAGTAGGGAAGAAAAAGTAGACAGAGGGAAAGAGGAAAGATAATGGAGAGAGGAGGAACAAACAGTTGTGAGAAGAAAAATAACAGAAAAGAAGAGACTGGAAAAAGAAAGAAAGATAGGAGGGAGAGAGAAGAGATGGTTAGAAGAGGGAAGAGGAGAATATAAGAAAGTAGATCTGTCGAAAGTGAGAGAGACAGAAGTGAAAAGAAGTCAGAATAGAAAGAGAAAATAATGGAAAGGAATGGTAAAAAGAAAAGAGAGAGGAGAGAAGGGAGAAAGAAGAACAGAGAAAAGAGGAATAATGGAGAAGAAACAAAGGAAGAATCAATATAACAGAACAAATTTTATATAGGATCAAACAGTAAATTGAATTAGATATATATAGTTAGCAAGTCAGGATATTACCTAATGCACTTTGTAAGCCCGTATTCTGCTGTTCACAAATTTTTAATGAAGAGACCTATGTCCTGTAAAAGTGGCTAGATGACAGTAACACAATTTTATTCTGTAGGGCAATTAATTATTCTGTGTTTATTGTATTTTGCATGAAGAGTGTCAGTGAAAGAATTTAATATTGAATTAACTCTTCAAAGCATCCATATATCTAACACTATGTGTTACCTACCGACCTCACAATGTACGTCCATCGGTCAAATTTCTGCATGTTTGTCATGATCTTATATCATCCATGACATCTACAGTTGCAATCAACCTCTCTACTTGTATATAAAGATTACCTGTATATAAAGATCACCTGTATACCTAGGTCACCTGCACTATAAAGACTACCTGTATACTTAGGTCACCTGCACATAGAGACCACCTGTATACTTAGGTCACCTGTACATAGAGGCACAGGTATACTTAGGTCACCTGCACAATAAAGACCATCTGTATACTTAGGTTACCTGCACATAGAGACCATCTGTATACTTAGGTCACCTGCACAAAGAGACCACCTGTATACTTAGGTCACCTGCACATAAAGAACACCTGTATACTTAGGTCACCTGCACATAAAGAACACCTGTATACTTAGGTCACCTGCACATAGAGGCCACCTGTATACTAAGGTCACCTGCACATAGAGGTCACTTTTCTCTCTTGAGTGGCTTTCATAGACAGCTTTTACATTTGTTGCATTTTTTTTCAGTTTTTCAGATTATCAGGTACCAAGAGTCTTAACTTACAGTAAATGGCGGAGTTAATGAATTTCCATACATCAGCTTTCCTTCCAGTTGATTATGATTCCTAGGTAATGTTTACACCTTAGCTCCATACAAATCCAAGTAAGGATTAAAAAGTATGAGGAGGAGGGCCATGATGACAGTGATGATGATAGAGTAATTTACAGGAAATGGAATCAGGTAGGAGTCTAATCTATCAGGTTAGGGGCAGGAGTTCATCGTCTCAA